TAGACGCGGGGTGCGCGCTCCCTCTCCTCCCTTCTCCTCATGGCCACGGAAGAAGACAACAGCCACACGCAACTGCCAGCATGCACCGCAAAAGAAGCATCCAAATCCACTGCAATGTGCATCTTGTGTGTGTGTGGTTGTGTGTGCCTGCAGCAACACAAAGCAAAGAAGTAGAAAAGGGAGCAGAGTATGTGAGGGGACGCACAAAAATGTACAGCGGAGACGCATAGCGGAAACAACAAGAAGAAGACCGCTCAAACTCATGACTGCAGTGCAGCCCAAGCAGCGGCGATTCACACAAGATTTATCCAAAACGAAAAAAAGCTTTCCCCTCGTCTTATATAAAACCCCATCACACAAAATAATTATAAATAAAAAAAAATCGTCCATTACTGTTCCACACAATTTTAAAATTCTGCCTTGTGGCCACACCAAACTGTCTGTATTTATTTTGCCCGCAAAAGAAAATTAAAAATATATTTAAATGTCTTTCAACCGTCCGACCCTCCGTGTGTCCGCACAGCGTTTATATTTCATGCGGTCATCTGCGTGTTGCTGCTCCCCTCAGCCCTCCCATCGGCGTGTGAGTGCGGCCCGCAGAGCACAGTCACTCGTGTGTGGGGACTGAGAGAAGCACGCAGACATGACGGGAGTCGCCTCACTCCATCGGGAGAGTGAGCGCAGCAAAAGAAAAGAAATCATCAGAGGGGAGAGAAATGCTGACGGGACTGCCAGCGCGTAAAATAAACACAAAAAAAAATCTTAAAAACACGGCGGCAGGGTGTGGCTGTGTGTGTGGCGCTGCGGGTGTCTGCCCGCCCTGGCCGCAAAGAAAACAAAACAAGAGGGAAGAAATGTGTGCTCCGCCCCACAGGCCCTCGTCGCACGCCCACACGTCACGGCTCCCTCAGCGCGCCGTTCGTCGCGGCCCCGCCTCATGCGTGCAGCAGGCGAGGCGCACAGGGCCGTCGTCGTGAGCGTGTCGGTGGGTGTGCGAGTGGAGCAGTTGGGCGGGAACACACGGCACCCCTCACAGGAAGAGTGCAGCAGAAACAATTAAAGAGGGAAAAGCAGAAAAGAAAAAACGTCCATAGTGATTGCCCCAAAAGCAGAAAAAGTGTTGGGGGTATGATGGAATAGAGATAAAAACAGAAAAGAGTTTTTTAAAAGAAAAGACGCCCAATCGCACAACAAAGAAAAAAAGACAAATAAATTAAAATCGCACAGCAAAGCAGACAAGGAGAAAAGTTAATAAAAGTTATTTAACGAGAGAGGTTCATTACCAGGTGTGTGTGTCGCTGCTGGGGAGGTCGCAAGTGTCCCACGCGGCTGCCAGTCACGCCTCACAGAGCCGCAAACCACCACAGTCCCAACAGAAGCAGAAGCAGCGATGGCAGCAGTTCGCTTCCGCAATGATTGCTGGCATCACCGTGTGCTCCACCGTCAAGAGCGGTACCTTCATCCGTTTCTCCTTCTTCCGCTGTTTGTGGAATAGAAAGTTTGATTGTGTTAAGCACAGTAAGCTCAATGTCACTCAACGGGCGGTTGTACAGCAGGACGTTCGTCACCGTCACGGACACGCCTTCTCGGCTCCCCGCGCTGTCTCCATCCCCTCCAATGTAGAAGTGTGATATCCCTTTCGAACCTTTATCCTTCAAATCTAATGGCGCACCTTCCACACGCCTACCATCAACGTACGCGGAGCTCTGGTTGCCGTTCCGTAGCAAAATTACCACGTGGCGTTTTGTCCCCGGTTCCCAATTGCTGCTGAGCTCCCCAGATTTAGTTGTTCCGTCACCGCACAGTAGCATCCACTTCTTTCCGTTGTTGTTGTACGACAGTCCCAGGAATAGAGTCTTCCCATCATTCATCTTCTTCGCACCCATCAAAGGAACGGGAGTATCACCCTCCTTCGGCACCTTGTCGATGGACACCGTCGCCACAAGAGTGAAGTTGTAGTTCGCAAAGTGGTACAGCTGATTCTCCCCCTGCGCGCCAACGGGCCACTCCGCCCACGCTCCCCGGAAGGTCACGCCATCGGAAGGCTCTGCCTTTGCTGCACCGTTCTTTACTGTGGCGTTCACCCCAAGGTACTCGTCCCTCCATGTGTTATAAGAGAAGTTGCCGGACAAAAAGCCTACCAGCCCATCCGTGATCTTATCAGTGCAGGCAGTGTCAGCTAAGGGATCCTTCTGAGCAAGTGAAGTGGTGCACAGCTGACAGACACGTTCGTCCACTTTCTTCCAGGTCGTCAGCACATCCTTCACACGCTCCAGCTGCGCAGTCAGAAGCACAGAGACCATACCGAGTGATGGTTTGTTCTCATCGCCCTTCTTCTTCTCGTACAGTGCAATCAACTCATTATTATCTCCAACTTTGTACAACAGGGCGCTGGCGGCAACCTCATCGTCTCCTTCCACAGATGCCAGCCCAATATCAACAATGTGCGTATTGTCCGTCAGCCAAAGATGGAGTACGCCCTTTTCCTTTTCCTTTCAATTTTCTTCGCTCTCAGTCTTGGCATACACAGGCAGAGTGACGAGCATCACGTCCCTGTCCTCAATCTTCGCTGTGATGAAACCGCTTCCAACGCCCTTCACATTTCCCTCGTGTTTGTTGCCCCACACGCGCGAGAGTGTCCCGAGTGCCTCCGTCCACGAATCCCCCTTGTCACCGGACTCGTACACCCTGCGGCGGCCATCATCACACGCAGTCATCATCATGAGTTTTCCGTCCTTCCACTCCACGACGGAGGGATCACCGCAGCCACCGTCAGACATCCAATTCGACAGCTTCCAACTCTTAGTATCCTTCAAGGAGTGAATGATCAGAGAAACGGCCTTTTCATCGTTTTGTGCTTCACCCTTCTTCTTAGTGCCTTCCACTGGGAACAAAAGCGTACCGTCATTCATATGAACACCCGATCCACCGCCGCCAGTCATCCCTGTCCACGATTCTAGTTTGCCAACAGATGCCCGCGAGACATCGTCATTATCTTTCCATTTGATTCTTTTGCCACCGCCACTTTCATCAATGACTTCCCCTTTCACCAGCAATAATCCCCCATCATTTGCTCCGCTCTTCTCACCAGCAGCATCTTCACTGCTATATTTCCCAACAAGCATGTAAATATCACTTCCCTGCACAACTGTTGTTGGTTGGCTCACATTTACCCTCTTCACTCCTTGGGAGACAGCCTGATCCGCTATACGGCAGGCACAATTCTCTTCTTCGGAAGAACATTCCTCCAGCACTTGTGTCGTTACTGCAGTTGTATCCAACTCTTTTGGGTTTTTTTGATCAGCCAATACCAGGAGCTCCGAGGCAATCCCAGTAAAAACGTTCTTGCCGGCTTCCGTGCACTGCGCCTCGGCAACGGCAAACACATCACCATCTATCTCAACAAGACCGGGAACACGAAGCAAACTCACTGTTTCTTCATCTTTCACGTCTCTCCAAACATAACGTTCCCCCTTTGAAGATCCCGAAGCTGAAGGCACGTCCTGACTGGATGCAGCACCACCGGTGCAGCACATCATCACGACGAGGAGCAGCAGCACCGCGGAAGTAAACACACGCCGGGACATGTTGGGCCTCTGCGGCTCACTCTCTCTTCCTTCCCTCCTCCTTCCGCTGGATCCGGTCACGCGGCGACGGTTGTGTGTGCGGGATGCCATGACTGCAGCAGCACGTGAGAGCATATAAATATGTGTGTGGGCGGTGTGTGTGCCGTTGGTCCTTTCAGAGCCTTGCAATTTCACACTGGCGTTTAGCGCTTGTTTGCTTTCTTCGTAAGAGAGTGAAAGAAATGAGGAAAAACAGGATAATAAAAAGAAGGAAACAGTGAACACCGTCACCCATCCACAGTGAGTGGCACCATCACCCGCACTGCAGTCACTCCCAACAACAACAACTCACGCAAACAGACACACGGAACGAGAAGAAAGAACAGTGCACCGGGAACACACAGCGACTGCCACCACCAGCAGCAGGAGGGGTGACAGAGAGTGCGTCATTATTCGTCACGCGTCAGCACACGTTGAACAACCAGAAAAACGCCCACACACAATCAACCAGCGAGATGCAAAAGAGCACAGCCGCCCTCGAAACACCGACACGCTGCCGCCGGTAGTTTAATTCCTGTCCCTCCATCGCACCCGCTCCGCCGCTGGCGCACATCACCCCGCACAACCGAAGAATCCGCCACCTGCCGATGGAAAGCAAAAGAGGCACAATGAAACGTGCTGCAGGTGGGTGGCAAAAAAAAAAAACAGCACTCGTCCCAGCCACCCTCACTGCCACACCACTCACTGGCTGCACGCTGCAAACATAACAACAGCAACATGTCAACGAGGCAAATCGCATACTCCTTCCCTCCTCGCAAAGAGCAACCGCCGCAGCCACAATCCCGTGCGTGCGTGCATTCTCAGCGTTTTAAACACGGCATGGCGTGTGCATGTGCTTGTGTGTTTGGCAGCGCCTATACTTGCGGAGCAGCTGTGCGCCCCAAGAGAGTCTGAAGAAAGCAACGGCAGAGAGAGGCAGATAGCACACACGCAAATTACTCATATCATCGCACACACACACACACACACGCAGCCGCGGAATGGATGCACTCAACCACAAAATCAAAAAGGAAAACAAAACAAAAAGCCGAAGCGTGGGACGACCAGCGCACACACACTCTCATTGCTCCCGTAAAGCAAAACACACACACAGGGAGAGAGAGAGAGGTCGCCCACTCAATGCAATAAAAACAAAACAGAAACAGTTACGGTGCTCCGCCCATGCAGCCAGGCAGGACGGCAGCGGTGCGTGTCATGCAAAAAAGAGCACCAACGGGCCTGCATGGGTGTGCATGCATATATACAATGGGCACATTATTGTGTGTGCCTCGTGGGGTGAGGTGAGGGCGAGAGTCCATGCAAGGGGACACACACACACAGAGAGAGAAGGAAGAGTGTGTGTGCGGGCGGTGCACGGCTCTCTCACACTCACTCTCACGCGGCCACCACCGCAGCCGCAGCCGCGACAAGAAGAAGCAAAAGAGGGGAGGTGGTGTGGGGGACCGCGGTGCTGCCGTCACTGTTTTGTGTGCTCGTCGTATCAGTTGTGTTGGCGGTTACTGTCGTTGCTTTTGTATCTCCTCCAGTTCCTTCTGAGCCTTTTTCTCGGTCTCTTTGTGGTGTGGCCGCGGTCTCAGGCGACGAAGCATTTTTTTTACCTTCACTCGTGGCGTCTTCGCCATCCTGTTCGCGGGAATCAACACTGTCTTCTGTAGGTGGTGGAAGATTTCCTTCCGCTATTCCCGCAGGCAGTGTGTGCTCTCCGTTAACTGTTGTGAGTGCGCCCTCTACTGTTGTTGTATTTTTGTCGGGCTCCTTTTTTCCTTTCACTTCCGTTTGCGTTAGATTGGCATTTGATTCCTGACTGGTGGAGGAGAAAATGCCTCTGCAGGTACAATTGGCT